CATCTGGAGATGGGTTCCCGGGCGCTGTACTATGGCAACCACTGCTCTTGACGTAAGCCTTTGTGGCATCAGGATGGGTCAAATGCAGAGGACAAATTTCCCTACGGGGACAATAAAGTGCACATTTACATTTATTCGTCCCACAGTGGAGAAATGTCAGTGTAATCGCAGTGTCAGAGAATGAAGAAAATAAGAGCACTCAGATTGCACTCATCAAAGAGTCTATTATTTCAGATAATATACAACATAATTATCCATCCATCCATTTTCTTCCCCTTAATCCATTTCTGGACTGATACTCCTGCAGGTGGTGAGTCCACAGGATCCTTGATCTTTCAGAGGAGGCTTCAGGCAAAGTGGGGTTAAGTGTCTTGCCCAAGGACATAATGACAGAAGGCATCAGTGGGAGTTGTGAAGTAGGGCTCGAACCCACGACGTTCAGGCTCAAAAGCCAATGCTCTACCAACTGAGCCACAGTCGCCCACACCATAATTATAATGCAAAATAATTGAATAAAATAATAAAAAATATCTGGAGCTATAATTGCACGTAGTTCAGAAGTATCATTATGGTGTATCGTATTGCATCGTATCAGCTGGGGGCCTCAGTGTATCATTACTGTATCACATCGGTGATCAAGTATCGAGATACGTATCGAATCGGCCTCTGAGGTGAAGATATACATCCCTTGTACGCAAACAATGCATCATATTAATTAGAGGAAAAACTTCCTACTGGCATTTAAATTGATTTGTCCATGAGGTTTATTTAATTTTGAACAACAAGTTGCCTAGGCTACTTATCCGTGGAGAAGATTGCACAGATTAGAAGTTTATTCAATCTGCCACATTGCTGCTATATTCAAATAACTTGTGTAATTGCATCTCAGTGAGAATTTTCTGGTTTTCTCCTCTTGCTCTGGGTCCCACAGTGAGGCCAATGCTTCATCACAATCTGCTAATGAACACACGCTGAAGCTTGGATCGATATCTCCAGGAAACAGCCCCCTCCTCCTTGCATGTGCCATAGACCACAAGAATACGACAATCCAGGGAGCCATAGACCCACAACGTGCACATACAGCGCAGTGCAATAACCAAGGCTGGGAACAGGATGGAAAATCAAATAGTATGAAGAATTAGAAAAATAATTATGACAACATTGTTTCATTTTAGAGTGAAACTTTACGGACACATTACACAAGTTGACAGCCAAAAAAAGGTCAGGGGTTTCTCAGCTGATTTAGACTAATTTTGGTGTTCTGAGTCCGAATATCACATGCGTTTTGCTCTATCAGGTCAATTTTTTGAGATACAGCCATAGTGTTACGGATTATGTACGTCTACGTTATTATGAATTCTGCTTATCAAATTTGATGGAGTAAATAAAAACTGAATGACTTTGGATACCTTGACTTTTATTTCTTGAGGAAAACGGAAAAAAACGTCCAGGGTTTCTCAGCTGATGATCCGCAGAAATTTGTTTTTTACGCAAAATCGATTAAAAAAAATATTTCTGTAGCAAAAAATCCTGACCTGATTGAGCAAAACCAAGGTCATTTTTGGACTCAGAGCATCAAAATTTGTCTAATGCAGCTGGAAAACCCTGGACTATTTTCAAAAAATATTTGTTTGTTACCCAGTGTTATCATTTGTGAGCTTTACTCCAACATTGTTCTTTATCAAAAACAAAGATCTATTGTCTGGCACAAATGTTTCCCCACCTCAGTCGCTTTTCAAACTTGTTATAGATGAGAGAAAATCCTTAGACTATGATATTATAGACAGAGCAGCCTTTTCATTTGAAAAATGCATTCAAAGTGTTGGGAATTGCTTTAGCCGAAAAAGCAATGAAAACCAGATCACTTGACCATCAGATGTAATGTGATTTAGCAAGAGGCATGTAAACCCATGTGTTGCAATTGAAAACTCGTTACAGCTGCTTGTCATGATTTAAATGTAAGTTTAGCAGAATCTAATTTATTTATGCCTCAAGATGAAGTCTAATCAACTCTTATATCTTTAGTCATTACACTGCATAGCAGTCTGACAATAAGTATTAGATCTTTATTATTATTTTCTATTTATCCATATTTGTCAAATTTCACATTCTAAAACATTAAAACATCCCAGTTGGAACAGGGCCTTTCTGAGTTGAATTTGCATGTTCTCCCCATGGTCACTCCGATTTCCCCTACCACTATACCTATGTGCAATAGTTCAGGGTGAATTAATTAATGTATGTTTGTGAGTGCGAATGTGGGACAACGGGCGTAAATTAGCCCAAGGCTACAATCCGGAGTGATGTGTTAACATGTACTGTCCCAACCAAATAAACAATAAATCAAATTCCAATATAAACATTAAAAATAATAATAGTTTATGGGTCAAAATAATATAATAGCAAAATACAGTGGGGCAAAAAACAGTCCTCCCACTTAACCTCTTAAGCTCGCAAAGATGAGAGATGCCTGTAATTTTCATCATGAGTATGAGACAAAATGAGGCGGATGTTTTTTCTGTAAAGGGACTAGAACCATTGATCAGTGAAAAGGAAAGAATGGGCCAACAGTGTGTGAAAACCGTGTGAAAACTTTCAGTAAACGTTTTGACTACTTGTTTTCCATAATTTACAATCAAATTCTTTAAAAATCAGGTGCAATTTTCTGGATTCAGACCTATGATGAAAATTACAGGCATCTCTTAACTTTTTAAGTAGGAGCACTTTTGGTGGCTGACTAAAGAAAATTATGTATCATTTTTGACCATTAAAATATATATTGGTATATTGGGACTGGGACAGCCCTACTTTAAACACATAGGGAACATGGGAAATTCACAAAACTAATTTTTGGGTAGTTCTTTTCTTTAAAAAGGCAGAAAACGTCTGTGTGAGTGATGTCATAGTGGGACATTGATATCATTCGACAGGACTCAGGAGCTTTTAGAAAGAAGGGACGGAATTCCATATTTATGTCAGAAGTTCCTCATATTAGTGTTGTTGGATCTAAAAACAACTGCAGGTCTGTTTTTGATGAGGTATAATGTTGTAACCATGTTAAAATCTCGATTTTGCATAATATGTCTCCTTTTAAAGAGGGAATATTTATTGATCTGATTTACATGTGTAAACTGACATCCAAAGATCATAATTGTATATTTTTGTATATTTTACATTATATCATGCCATAATGATAATAGCAGCAGAACACACGCTGCAGAAGCACACACTGCAGAGACTTGTATCATAGGCTGGGAAAAAAAAGAATAGTGGGCATTCGTATCAATATACATGTGACAAAGCACAGTGATTAAAAAAGAAATAAAAAAATCAAAGATATTTATCTTAAGACTTTTTAAACAAATGATCTACTAAGACAATCCTACTATTTTGTTTTATCCAATTTCATCCCATTTATTCACATGCAGACATCCCTTTTTTACAGTGCACTGAGCGTGGTGGGTATAATTCCGCTGCTACGGCAGGGAAGATTGTAACACCTTAGCAACAAACACGGCGAGCCTCCCACAGAAGGAGGAGCCACCCGCATCCAGACATGAATCAAAGAGCGATGCTTTTAAATAATGTTGTCAGTCCACAAAACCAGGCACAATACCGTCTCGCAATAATCCCTCATCCTATACCACCTATAACTACCCACAGTCTCATTAGTATTCCTTCTGCCTTGCAACGCTTTTCCCTCGCAATTCCGCAACAACCCCCGCCTATCTGCTCTTCTCCACAATCTGTCATGGGGGAAGGAGGGGCTATGGGCATCTCAAATGAGCAAGGCACTCTGTGGATATAGCATTAGCCGTGCGCAGGTGGAGGGATAAGCCAGTGAGAAGAGATAGTAAACCAGGATGGACTGCAACTGGATATAGCTAGTGTTCTTTTCTGTTTGCTTTGTTTGGAGAGGAGGGGCATACTGGGCTATTGGAAGTGCATTGGATATTCCAGTCACACGACAAGCAGAAAGAGGAGGAAGAGGAGATCAAGCATGTTTGTCTATGGACTGCGTTAAGACTGGTCGTCACCTGAATTGGATTCTTTTTTTGGATATACCTTGATTTCAATTGGACGCACCCTATCTCATAAATCCTCTGCATGTCCTTGCCACAAAAAGACTGCCTGCCTTTTTGATTGAATGTCAAAGTACAGATGACTTGTAATCATCAGGCGTTACCTGGACTTCAGTGGCTTTGCCATGGCATGTCTGCGCTCTGAATGACACCTCATGCATGTTTAACCATTACATTGTAAAGATCAGCTCTGTGTATTGTTAATTAGAGCCTGGAATGGATGCCTTGATCTAAAAGGAGATGAGGATGTTGCTGCTGCATAGTTGAAAAAGGTCAATGTTATAATTGTAATTATTGAATCTCAAAGACCTGTGATGATGAAGATGGAATTGTTGAACACGTATGGAGCTGCAAGATTTAAGATGGGTGTATTCTAGGAACAAAAGAGCCTCCACAATTGCACTCCAGACAAATTACTATTCTACAAAGTTCAAAATGAATTCTCAATCTCAAGTTACAGCCAAAATGCGGTAATGTAAGGGCGTGGGGAGAGACGGATGGAACCAAGAACTTTGCTTTCAAGGAGAAACTGTCAGCAAGCCACTTCTTTCTGCGTTGATTCATCCAGCCTTCTGCAATGGGTGACCAGGCGAACTCAGGTGGCACTTTACAGAGAACCACTTACTTAATTTCATTAACATTGGTAAAAGTAGAAGCCGTTGATGGGGAGAATGGAGCCCAAGCGAAAGATGCAAATGGAAGGATGGTTGGAGAAAGCGGGGTTCAATGTGACAAGACTCAAAACGGAGCAGAGGACAAAGATAAAGAGACTTTTGCAGCTGCGAAAGATGCAGAAAAGCCATTTCCAAGTCTAGCGAAGTCCCCTGAACCAACAATTCAAGTTGAGAAAAACGCAAAAACTTGTGAAGCAAAGCATTGCAAACCGACAACTCCATCCACGGAAATAGTACCAGAACCATGTCGTACGCCAACGCGGACAAGTTTGCCTATTCGCCCAGCGGGACAGCGGCCCGTCAGCTTGTTGAAATCGCACAGCAGCGTCGCGACAAGAGGCAGGGAGACCAGAGACGGACGGGAACGCAGTCCAACTTCAGCGCAAAGTTTGGACCGCAAAGACTGCCGCATGCCAACTCGATCTCCTGGGCCATGCAGAGCGTCATGGGCCGAAACAAGCCGTACAGAAATGTGGCATGATGAGGTGGGGATACCGATGGATATAAGCAGTGCAGTGCTAAGGGATTTACCCAGAAAGGAAAGGCTAAAATCGGGTTCTGCGTCTCTGCCTGGTCCGCCCATCCAAGTGCCGAAATCAGGCCGTAAAGGAAAGAGCCGTACACTGGATAACAGTGATTTAAACAGTCTGTCGGAGGATCTCGGGTTAGCACCGCCAGCGCAACAAAGAGCTAATGCTAAAGACAGGAAGATGCTAAAGTTTATCAGCGGCATTTTCACAAAGAGCAGCTCTGGAGGGTCGACGTCGGCAACACCATCTGTTTATATTCAGAGAGACTCCAGCGAGGAAGAAGGTATTCCAGCGCACACTTATGATTTCATCATATGACATCATCACTGTGCTTGCTTTATGATGTTTTCCCTTTGTAGCTCATCTACACATTCAAAGTTATTGCTATAGTGATTCAAACATATGCGAGACAAACATTATTCTGTATTCAAGCCGCCATTGTTTTTACTGTCCCCAATGTTTTATTGCTTTGATACACTCCCATTGTTCCCATTCATATTATCATTTAAAATCTGGAATACATAAAATATTCAACCAAAAGTGCCTATAAGGGATGGACAATGGCATTAGCGAGAGAGATGGAAGAATTACTTCCATTGATCGGGATTTGGGATTTTTTCTGGAAATTCATTTTGTAAATGTAACTAAATTTTTTGCTTACATATTTTGAATTGCCAATTTAGATACATTTTGATACTTAAAAGGGGAATAGGTGCCTTAATCTATGACTTAAAACTCCTGCCGATTGACTGTAGCCTACGCCACTACAATATACATACATACATACATACATACATACATACATTTTTTTCTGCACAAAAGTGCCTTTTACTTAAAAAATATTTTTACATATTTTTAAGCTAAGCTTTGTCCTCCATTTGAAACTTACAGGATCCAGTTAACATAACGTGAACTCAATCCAGCAGTTTTTATTTTAATAGAACTATGCAATACACTGCTGTCATGTCAGGTGGCACTGATGGGGGAAAGGAGGGGTGGATAATTTTAAAGGTGAATATATTTAATATCACACATGTCAAGAAACATTTTGATAAGCCCACACACTGCTCTGGACAGACATCTAAGTATGATGAGAAATGAACTGTCTTGGTCTTCGTTATAAAGGGGAGCTATATGCAAAATTGTCTTTTCACAACCTTTGATCATGTTTTTGTAGTTTTCCTTGTTATGTACCCACTCGTTGTGACTTTTAGGGGGAATATTAATATTTTAGTTATATTTTCTTACACCTGAGATGGTGTTACTGCATTGCATTCACATTCAAAAACAATGCATTTAGTCCATTGTGCAGAGTCCACATAAATTATTCCAAGTGTGAATACTTTTATTGAGCCCTGTTCAAACCTGGTTCAGACCTGGTTTAGACTTTGATGAGTTGTTTTTAAACAACTGGGCAAGTTCTGGATTAGTTGTAGAGCGTAGTCTTGTTGTTTACCCTTGGTTAGACCAGACAAGAGATTTACATAGTGTCTAAGGTTTTGTCGGGCCATTGTTGCACGTTGCTACTCCACTTAAATACCCTTTACATTTGATTGGTTCATTTGATCTTACCCTAGAGTGATGTTTTTAGATCTGGTTTTGATCATGTTGAGTCTCGTTCCGCTTCTAACAGTTGACAGCTGCAGTTGTTTGATTTGGACCAAAAATAACAATAGAAGCGTCTCAGATGGTCTTAATCTAATGCCTGTCAGAGCGTGGGCCCATTTCACGATGCTTCTGGGCTAATCTGCCAACACACACGCGCACATGCACACATACACGTTTTTGTTACCTGGTGGGTCCCTTTGACAGGGCCGTTCAGAATGGGACCCATAGACATAATCTTTTTTTACCAAGACTTTAAGTAATACAAAACAGTCAATAGAAACCAAACAACTATTTTAAAGGAATTTTATTTTAGATTTTGTTTTCGAATTGCAGTGATTCTATTTTTGACATAGAATTTAATGCCACTCCATGTCCGATGTCTAAGGTCATCTGGTGAGGCATTAATGCAGGCCAGGCAGTGAGACTTCCCAGGGACCTTTCCAGTCTGTATGAAAGGTGTCATGGTCTTCTCCACAGCCTTCACCTCAGATGCAGACCATGGCTTTCTTACACGTTCTAGGGAGAGAAATAAAAATATATTAGCAATATACACTCCCAGGGTGAGGACCAAGCAGCCTGGCTGTAATCCCCCACCTGGTACACTTACCAGAAGGGGCACTGCCACTACCATGGGGTGCATCTGGATGAATGGTTGAAGGTTCTCCGCTTGAAGTTTCTTTTAGCCCGTCCGTTTGTGAGAGGATCTCTACTGCTCTCCCTGTCGCACAGAAAATAAAAATACAAGTGGCCTTTAGGGGAAAAAAATCATACATATTTTAATAATATCAAGAATTACCTTCAGGCTCAATTTGTATCTGGTCGAGGCTCTTTCCTTCGAATTCCGTCACTCTTCCCTGCTCCATGGCCATCAACACTTTGCTGATTTTGGCCAGCTCCAGTGTCCCCCTGGTAGTCTGTAATATTGCCTGTGGATGCGAATGTCATGGCCGAGGAAGTTGGCAAGTATGTCCATCTCATTCTCTTTCATATTGAGAACTGTAGACATAGTAGCTATGTGCTTTCTAAGTTTGGTTGAGGATAGCATCTCTGGATGCACCGCACCACATTCTTTGGCTACCTGGCGTAGGGAGTCTGATCCCCTGATGTGGGTGTCTGCGCCCGGGCGGGAAAAGAAGTATGGGTTATGGTCAGAGATGGAACAGGCCCTTCTGTTCTCCACCAGCACCTCCATCGAAGCAATCATTTCAGGAGTCAAAAGAACCGGCACTTTCCGACTTCTTTTCCCTTTAATTTCAATGCGTTGAAAATGCTGACACAGCTTTTTCTCAAGTTGGGACAGTCCCAGAGCAATGTCAGAATGGATCCCAGTCTTACTTCTTAAGGTAAAGGCTGTCAGTGGCATCTTTGAAACCTCACCTTCCCTTCTTCGATTGAAAATGATGACCTCACAAAGAGTCAAAACTGCCAGTTTAGACCAATGCTTAGACGTTGGCTCACTTATTAGGGTTTGCACATATTCAGGTCGACATACCTCAATATGTGCATGCATGGCTCTAACGTCCTCAGTCAGAGGGAGCAGGTCCGGAGTGTTCCACTTGGCTTGCCGGAGGGTCTGTAGGGCAGCAGAAGAAACACAGACGTCCCACCTCTTCTCAAAAAGCAGCCGGCTTCGTTGGAGGTTTTTAATAAATAGTTCATCAACACAATGCTCCATTTTTGAGTCACATTCAAGAATATCTGCTAGCTTTCTGAGGCTATGGCCGAGTTTGAGGGCCAAGGATGGAGTCTTGTATTGATTTGTTTCCTCATCATATCCAGCCACAGACCTGACTGCATCAATCACATGGTTAAAGTTGGAAGGAATAAAGAAATCCTTAATTGTTTTCAGTTTCCCTGCGGTTTTTGCTTCGTTAATTTAACCTACCGACTTCTCTCATTTTCTGCCTAATGTAATCATGCTTTGTCTTATCATGCCCGTGTTTTAAGTACAGGTGCTCTCCGAGTCTCAGAATGCCCTTTTCTGCTTTGACAACACCCGTGACCTCATCCTGATGCATTGCCGAAATTAAAGACCACAGCTTTTTGCTGATGCCCTCCGGTACAGGCTGGGCTAGGGAGCAGAGGGACTGGACCCTACTTCTACCTGGTTTAGCCTGGGCATCTTTCTGTGAAAGCCGGCACCTGGCCACATGCCTCCACAGCGACTTTCGCTTAAGCAATGCCCCACAGTCTATACAGTGCAAAAACTCACTGGATTTAACTGGGCAATTTGGCTGTTTAGCTGGGACTAAAGTTCCAATGCCGGCCTTTAAAACCTCAAAATTGTGCTCACGGTTTCCACTATTCCTGATCAAATCAAACTGAAGTTTACGTGCTTTAGATTTCACAGGTAGAGCCAATGCTCTGGCTACGTCACTTTCATTTCCATGTTTTCTAGTCAAATGACGGGACATTTTGTGGCAGGACATTGAACAGTAGAGGCAGAAGTGTCTCTTGCTGTATACTCGCCCCCCATTTTTCTTCTTTTGCAGCTGCATGATAACAATCTTATTTGCCTTTGGTTCGTCACTTTCCGAGTCTTGAAGAAAAGTGTTTTTGATTTTTCTTTTTCCATACTTTTTTACAGGTTTCTTCTTGACAGTTAAATCGTCAGAATCTGAGTCGACTTCATCAATTAGGGACTCTTGACTAAGCTGCACAAACAACAAATAATTTGTAATCATTCTATATAACAATTTGAAGTCATGACTTGTAGTCAGCACTTACCAGTGGTTTGTAAGCGTGCGCTTCAGTGTGCTCCTCCATGATTTCTTGCAGCCTAATGAACCACACACTTGCACCTTTTTCTAGCCTGACACCTGATTTCCTCTGTTGTGCTGCTCCATGATTGGCTCCAGCCTGCTGGACTGAAATTGCCCCAGTGTGCCCCTCCTTGATATCCCGCAACCCACCACCAGGGTTCCGACACATAACACACTTTTTTCAGGAAAGTAAACCTCCAGGGGTCCTTTCCATATTTTTACAGAGACTGCATAAGGACCGTTAGAAAAGCATTACCCATTGATTATTAAGCTTGGACCAGTGGGGTCCGGTGTTCGGGCCCCACCACGTAAAACCAGTCCCCATGACGTGAGTGGAATCTCAGGTTATGGAACCCACCAGGAGTTGAAAACAAGTGCACGCATGCATGTTCACACACACACACACACACACGGAAAGTGCAGCCCACAGCATGCATCTGAATGTTCTAATGAAGCCACGGGGAGATGGACAGATAGTGACACATATATGGAGGAATGACACTGTCCACAAAGGCCTTGATACAGATCTTGTTGATTAAGTCCTGGTTTATTCCAGGTCTACTTCAATTTCATATCACTACAAAATCAACTTGTTATGTTTTCCTTTTAATTTAGTAACTAAAGCATTTTGGACAATTGTAAAGACAATCCCCAGCTGGGATACATCCACCTTTCTTTATGCACTGCATTGTGTTGTTGTTGTTTTCTTAAAAGTGAGGGATGATTTGGCAATATCACACAGGCATTTAGACTAAAATGAAAAGAAATACGCTGCATGAATTCCTGGATATGTTAGATTAATAGTGACTGTTTAAGTACACATATTATCATTAATATTATTTGTCAATTGTTCTCTACTACTTTATTGCTGGGTCATGAAAGCAGCCAGTCGGAAGACTGGCGCACAGACACC